TTTACACAATGACACAGATGTGCAAATACGGAAAGGGGCAGAGCGTCTGCTTAAAAAGTGAGCCGGCGGAGTGGAATTACGATGCGCTGCGTTCGAAGAAGCACGAGAGACGAATTGGAATGCACTTACCACTAACTCGAAGGAAGCCAACATCAAAGCGGTTTTTCAGTGCCATCTTCCAACTCTGAAGAAGGAGTTACTTCAATAATGTTTAATTAAAACATTGTTGTTGTCAAATTTTAAAATTTTCGCTGGCTACCTTTAAAAAGTTAAACATTCATCAATCCAAGTGGCTATTCCGTGTCTAGTTAATGCTAGAAGGTCTGTTTGACTTGATTAACCCTCAAAACCATCCAGCATGATGATTGTGGCAGACCACAAATATTACCTGAACTCCTCACTTCAATCCTCCCTTTGTGTAGCATAACCCTTCCAACTATTGCCTAAACGACTGTTAATAGCTGATACAAATTGTCAAATATTTCACTGGCCGATGTTAAAATTGTTCATCACCTAATAGGCGGACGGCTGAAGCAACAAAGCAGTCTTTTGCAAAAGGCACGATGCATAATTGGGTCGACTGCAGTCCGCATACGTGCTTGATCCGACAAACTCACTTTACTGAGTCTAGTGTTCTAAATTGCATTCATATTGCTACCCACATAGTGCTCGGCGATCTGAGCATCCGTTTCATCGAGAGAGACGTTTTTCTTTGACCGCTGAGATGATAAAAACCAATCATCAGTCTCTGGACTGGCGCTATCGGAACTGGAGTTAAAGGCAATTCCTGGTGCATCGTTTCGCGAAGATGGAGAACAGCCATTGACGAATTCTACATCACTTTGTTGTCCGTTACTGTCAAATGCTGGTGTGATATTGATAAAAGGCAGGGAAGGAAGTGGGTAGGATGGATAGTCCTTAGCTAAACCGGTCAGAGTGGCTAAGAGGAGGAGACGTGGCTTTGGCCGGTAACCGTTCAACTCGACCTCGATTCGCTGCGTAAGGTCCATCGGCAGTCGAGAAATATCAATTAGTGCTCTAAAATGTCATAGAGGGAATTCCAATCGCCAACATTTTACACCTTTGACCCCTTAACCCCTGATCGACAAACAACTCCAACATTTTTTAATGGATTTCAGTTTTGGCATCTTTTAAAGATTTGGATTTAAAAATGGAGGCAAATAGGAATCCTTTTTGTTATTCACTCGGACTACCTTCCCCTCCATCTCTCAAAACATAAATTATTCCTATTTTTGTTAATTTTTAAAAGGAAATATTATCCGATAAAGTTTAAAACTAGACAAGAGTGAAGTTGGTGGCATATTTCCAAAAAAAAAAAGAAATCAGAAATGTCGCTTGTTTTTCACTTTGGTAGTGCCAGGCTAGGTGGCGGGGTGAGACCAAATTAACACTTCAGTGTTGATTTGGTACACCATCTAGAATAAAATCCAGATCGCCACATACGAGTGGAATTCGTATTTAAAAGTTTGCGCCTTCTGGCTTCAGCTCACGGGTTCAAAACGCCGCTGTCCTTCTAAGGTTGCCTAATTTGTATAGGCTACTGCACATGGAAAGTTTGGAACTGCTATGCTCTAGGTGTCAGTCAAGGAGGAATTCGAAAAACGAGTATCCCTCCTGAGGGAATTCATGGACAAACTGATATCCATGTGACGAGTTTAGTTTCAGCGACATTTAAGGATTGTTCTATAGCTAAGCGTACTCGCCAATTTTCTCAATCCCGGAAGCTGGTCCACTGATGTTGGGATTGGCTATGCTCGTCAGCTGAATCTCGATCAGGGTTTTCGACGACCTCGTGAGATGGAAGGTGAAGATTTGATTCCACACAGGCTCATAGGTGGACTTCCTGATCTGAACAAAGCAGTATGACATAAGACATCTCCACTTAGCATGCCATGGAACTTGATTCATCCAAAAGTATTACATAATTTATTCTGAAACTTGTAGCAGTTTGATCTAACCGAAGGTATCAAACATGAAAATGCAAGGCATCTAAAGGTGAGACCAAACCAACGCTACAAGGTTTTTTAAAACAAAATTTATCGCCTTTAGGTTTTGTTTTCGTTCTGTATTTAAGTTGAAAGAATTTGACAATGGGTATCTATAGTTTGCGCGTACTTTCAATTTCAGTGGCCGTATATAGTACTAGTAATGTTGTAAGGAGTTGAATCTCTTTGTACCTAACAGTAAGGATTGATAAAATAATCTCCACTTTACTTAAGCAAAGGAAAGATCAACTATACTTACTCCAGTAGCGTATTTTTCCTTGCCAAATTGTAGCTGTACTTGTGTGGAAAGGGGTTGAGCTTGTTTAATCACTGTCTGTGAATAAGATATTAATTTTGCCACCATCACGCCTCTGTGCACAGAGTCGACAGCCTCCTCACCGGTTCGAAACCTGTTGAGGAACTTGGATAGCGGAATGGACTGGAGGCCGCAGGCACTGAGAACGTTGAGGTAAAGAACGGCTGAGTCAAACTGTCCCACCTGAGGTCCGGTAACAGGGTTGAACTCAAGGGCGGAGACACCGCGAAGGAAGTGAGGTGGCCAGGGTAGTCGAGGTGAGACGATCTCGGTGGCCTTGGTCAGAGGGTTGGTGATCACTGCTACCTCTCCCGGCTGGTACTCTAGAGGGGTCCAGCGCCGCGCGTACACGTTGGAGGGACGTGAAACAACATTGAGGCTAAGGAGACCCAGATAGCGAGCCTCGAACATTTGTGCGCCGGCGTTGAGCGGCCCACGCATGGAAAAACTAGTATCCATGATATTCATCATCGACACACAACGTTGTTTTGTAAGCAACCGAGACTGTGGTGCAAAATATACACATCTTTTCAATGCCTTAATCGAAATTAATTTGTGACAATAGGAATTCATTTCTATTACAGATTAACAATATGCACCCAAACTTGACTTCATCACTATGACAGTTATGCTTAGGAAAGTGGTATTTTAAAGCCATGCAAGTAAAAATCATTGCAGCACCTAGCCTCCCTTCAGTTGCACTTTTCCACAGCACATTTAATCCTGAACGCAGCACAAATTGAACAAACCAAAAATTAGAGCTCGTGCAAAGATGACTGCTTTCAGGCGAACAGGATCCCAAAGTGATACTTCATAAGGGTATTTAACAAGTGATCCGCGACGTACCTTGTGGTTCCAATGCGCATCCTCAATGGATAACTTCTTTTTCATTAAGGGAGAAGTATTCCTCAAGGTGCGCAAACACACCTGCATTCGTAATGTTCCAATAGGATGTTCATCCTCGATGCCTATTATTTCGAGATGCTTGGAGTAGGTTCTATAGACAGTAGTATAAGTGAAGTTAAGAAGCACATTCCTTTTCTGATAAATAAGGGCATAAAAAACCATGATTGCTATTTTTGCAAGTTGTAGAGTTCAGTAAAGACATTCAGAGTCCGATAATTTGCCCTCTTTCCCAGATGCCAATCTACCGCCTAAGCTTGAATAACCATCTCTGTCCTTACTCTCCTTTACAACGTCGACCGCTCCATCATTGCAAATGGGCAGAGAGGAGGAAAATCAACGCCGAATTACTAATGAAGTTGGATTTATGCAATTAGTCAGTAATCTCTCTGATAAAGTCTTCAGGCAGGTTCCTTCAAGTGAGTGCGCTGAAGCATTTCGGAAATACTTCAAAGCCAAAACGTAGCAAAAGGCAACTCCTTTTGCAAATCTACAAAATATGCTCCATTTGGAAACTCAATAAAGCATTAACTTGTGTTTTCATGAGGTGATAACTTACACATCAACTAGACATTCATTCAGCGGCAGCTGTGTAGAACCCAATGTTGAAAATCGGCCAGCCTTGCGACTGCAGAAATTCAACTAAAGTGACAAAATGCTTATCTTTTGGAACGGTCAATTTCAAAATACCCGCACTCAAATGGTTATCACATGGCGATGTGTAAAGCTATACATTAATCACCTCAGTCGCCTTCCCACCAACTCTACAGCCATATTCAGTAACTTTATTTAGATGGATTCAGCATTATCACTTGTGAGGTGATTGTTGTCTGTGGGGTAAGAAGCAAAAAATCAAATCCAGATTTAATTAAAAGAGTGTTCTGATGTCAATTCAAGAATGATCCCCAAGGCATAGAGCAAGATTTGGAGTCACTGACACCACTTGCATTCGCACCTGCGAGTGAGCCCCTCCGTGATTGATTGAGACGGAAATGGATGGTAAAAGGCCTTGGAACGCATGTGTACCCGAGTGTACTACGTATTACCAAATACAGCTGTGAGTACATTTAATCTACGCATTCTTTTGTGTTCGACGGCGATTTTGCTATGGTGAGGGTGGCGTGACATCTGGCAGTATAAAAGGGCGTGCAAAGTTACACAAGGTAAATTAATTACGCCTCACATAACTTTTAAATGCCTACGCGAGAGACGGTGAATTCCATCAGCTCAAGGTGCGCAAGCCAAGACTATTTGTGATAGGTTATCCACCTAAAGTTGCCCCATTACATGTTCACCACTCTCGTAACTAAGCTTTTAGATCCATTCCTAAACGACTCACTTCGCTAGATCTTGTAGCTTAGTTTCAAGTAATCACAATCCCTTTGGTTTTATTGGGTAATCCACGGCACAGGTTTAGCCTATGCTCAGCCAGTTTGCAATTGCCATTAAGAAATCCGGAACAATGCTTTTCTTTCTTTTCTAGACTCATGACAAAAGACCTATCAGTAGCTCGTATTTATATACATCAATGAGTAACGAGGTGGTTTACAAAGTCTTACCGTCAGAGGGTGTTGCACGTTTATCAATGGAATTGAGAATGTTTGCTCCCAAACCTGGTGGGAAGATGAGGGTTTCACTGAGGTCCTCCCAAGTGTCAATCCACCCTGCTTAATCTTTATGCAGGTGTTAGTCCCATCTGCAAGGGACACCGTAGGTTTAACCATTCAATAAATCTGCCAGCGTCATCATTGGGATTTGAAATAACTCTTAACTTACATGCGACTTTGCACTGGTGTCAGACTTTGCCATTTACGCAAAACCAATGAACTATTTAAGTATATTCAACCGAAAAGGAGATATTAACTGTAGCCTGTTACAACAATTAATTGCCCCACCGGATTAATGGGCTTACAGCATTTGGATTGTCACGAAGATCTTACCACCAATGTCAAGACTAAGCGCTCTCCAAGCCTAGTCTTTTCATCCCTTAACTAAAGGTGGATGTCAAGTAGTGAGGTATATGGGAAGAGAGTTGAGTTAAAACTGTATGAAAGCGAAGAGGAAAGGAGTGAGTCAAGAATACCCGAATATGCAGTCAACAGCAGTGCTCGCACTTAGATTGCTCCAATGTACCCAACTTCACTCTGAACATTAAGGCAAGCAGATCTTCTGTCTGCTGTGCGATGAAGTAGTAGGCTCATTGGCTCACTCGCTATAACTCGATGTTGCTTACCACTGAAAACCTTTCAGACCTACATGCTCGCAGGTGAGTGAAAAATCGGAAGAAAAATTCCCTAATGTCATTTTATTTCAAAAGCAACCTGAAGATTTGGTGATTGTAAGAGGTGGCGCAAGTTGAATTGGAGAGCCTTGACGTTTGACTCCTGATTGCTGCCTTAAGTAATTCAAAATGTAAGTTGATACACCTACATAGAGTTAACTACTATACAACTTAAGCTTTTTAGGCAACTCTGACGTCCCCTGATTCCCACCAAATGGGGGTGGTGGATTTCCGTAGACCAAAGTGATCATTATGTACGGCATGACTTAGCAGATTTAGGAACTACACGAAAGTTGCCTGTGAAATAAAGACCAAAGTAGCACTCTGAGAAAAGGTTAAACGCTTAAACGCATACTTCTGCTGTGCGTTATGAAGTGTACAAAGGATAAGAGCGTAATAATAGATGGAAATAATTTCTGTCTTACCATGAACGACTGAGGTATCTATGCCGTATGCGGTGTAGATACGCAGTTCAACCAACCACTGAGGTGCGAGAAACGTTAGCTGGTGCTACAATTTAGCAAAGTTTTAATTTAAATTAAAGTACATCATCCGAATCAAGCGTCATTTTTGATGTCAACACTTTGGAACAAATAGAATTTCACATATATTGCCTTCCAGAAGGACGTAAGACCCTCTCATTTCAACAAAATGCATTCGTGTTCAAGTGTTTTAGTGCTTTTGCTGAAAGCAGACAAAAGATAGAAGAATAAACCTCATAGTCGAAATGTTAAATGAACTCGCTGCACTTTTTTATGAGGATAACTTTGACCGGTTCTGAAGTAAGCACACCAAAAGAATGGAACCTGAGAACCGCTGCTTTAAGAATTCTTGATTGTTTCAGCAAGACAAGTGCATTGCATCTAATCTAGGCAACACTACAACTCCTATTTCACTTTTTTCAATCCCCAAACATCGTGTATGTAAGGAGATAATAACGTTAATCCATGCTGAGTAGTTTGAGTAACGGCATAGAATGTGACAGTGTTTTATTCTCAGATTGCAGTTTACATAGTTGAGCAATGCGTAGCCCAAAGCAGTCTAGCACTCCATAAATGTCTCTGCTCTGGATTTCAGAGTCGCCCTGCTAAATCAGCACTCGGCTGCTATGCTCACTTCCCGTATTGTCAGACACTAAAACCCTCGCGTTTGGGGTTTGAGAGTATCAAATCTCAATTTCATAGGATGATCGAAGTGATTTTTGAATAAATGTCAATAGCATCGCCCGTTATGAGATCGAGCAACAGTAATCGTGACTTTTCCCAATCTCTGAATTAAATATACATCTTGGCAAAAACCAATACTAAAGCTCCTTTTTAACTCAGAATGTCAAACTGGAAAGTCTGACAATGGTGCACATTAGCAGACTTGTCGTAACTTACCAAATTGAAGTCACTGCGACTTCGTTTTTTTGCGCTTAAGAGGTGCCCGTGCCGGCGCCTATGTAGCCTTCCAAGGTCTCTTTCGGGATCGATAGGAGAAAAGTTAGCGTTGTTATCACCGAGTGAGATGTTGGAGTTCGTTCTCCCCAAGATATCGTCCAGCGAACCAGAGAGCGAACCAGCTTCAAGTGCCAATTCGCTGCCCCTGATCGAAGTTGACCTCGCTTCCAACGAGGATGAGGTGTGCGACGGTGCCAGCTCATCTGGGGATTTATTCTCTGCTCTTTGACGATGCAAGGCTTTAGTGAGTAAGATGGCTCTGGAAGTTGACTTTTTACGCTCGCGCTTGTCGTGAAATATAATCCGATTGCTCAAATGAGTTCTAAGTGTGCTCATTTTTAGTCTATAGTTAGCGTACAACGCTGGAGTAATGTAGAAGATAAGTCAAGCAAGACAAGCAAAGAGCTGTGCGTTTTATTTTGCACTCAACATCATTCATTGGTTGTTACGGCTACTTCTATCACTGAAGCCTAATTGGTTTATTCAAGTCTGATTAAATTTGCACGTGGAACCCATCGAGGCTCAGCAATTCACGGTCTGGCCCGCATTGGAGGGGTACATCGGCCCCAGATGACGGAGTCCATTGCAGTAAGAGAGCACTTTAAAATACAGTTTTTTTTCGCAAGTATGAGTCTTATTAGACAGAAAATACAGTCTGTGGAAATACCGTGAAGCGCAATAAGCTAGTGAATGCCTGGTCCGAAAGGGTATTTGCAGTCCTTTTACTTATAAATAGTCTTCTGGAAAAAGTGCAGAACGAATTTGATTTATGGCTTGCATAATTGGTTCGAGGACTTAATTACATGCTAGTAGATTCTGGGTGACGCTCCTAACTTTTGGAAAGTCTCCAGCACATACACATCCCGAAAAACGGGGAATCCTTTCGACCACCGACAGACTACAAGTCCAATTCTACTGCCAAAGAGTTACCACTTTTGACAGCAAAAGGCGTTCGACAAATGAAACAGCAATGCTGCTTTAAAAAGCGCAGCTCCACATTACCGCTGCTCCAGGATATAGATATGCAATCTGCCAATAGCCGAGCCTCAACAGACCCCGCAAGGCATGAAAACCAGCAAGGTAAAATGAAATATCCAAACAGGAGGCACAGAAGTCTCTTCGTACTAGATCTCATTTATAAACATGAAGACCCTGCTTCAGTGAGACCAATCCTACGCGTTTTGAAGACGACAGCAAACTGAGTCAATTGCTTGTGGAGTGACACAAATAGTTATCTAGTCCGAGTGAAATTGACGAATTTGAGCTAAAATTCAATGGCTTACTAGCCCGTATAAGTGTCACATGCAGCATTGTCTCGTTATTAATTTTAATAACACGGAGAGCACAAGATTCTTCTAAATAAATGGGTATTAAATTCAAGTACATAAGTGAATCACGATAATTCATCATTTTTACACAGATTATATAGTGAAGAGGATTATCAAACTAACAGAGAGAAACGGTGGTTCCGTTAAACAGAAAGCGTAGTTACATAATAAAGACATTTCACAAAGCTCAACAGGTGGATGCGAAGACAAGGTCAGGTGAAGGAATAGTGGGCAGCTACGAGTTCTTCGGTAGCAATACGCTGAAGGGTAAGCCAATCGACGCCGAGGAAGGCGCGCCAGAAGCGACGTACACGAGACCACACAGTAGTAGGGAAGTTTGGCGATCCTATACCGTGGAAGATGTTGGCCATCACCCGACCAGTCACCTGTCCCGGGATCAGGTTCTGCCCATGCAAATGCATGAAGTCCCTTACGGTCACGCGCACCATTTGTTCCTGCAATGAAGCGAGGTTGTCAGAATACAATGTAGATGCCTCTTCGACCCTGTGAGACTTAAGAATCCAGTGCCTGTTTACCGACCCACATAGTTGAAAACTATGAAGAAGCCCTCATACGTATGGAACATATTTGTATTTGATAACCGAAAGCTATTTAAGATAAAACGTAGTTGGTTGTGACGAGTATCTTCTCATTTGTACCGTCGGCCGAAAAAGTACTCCCCGTGTTCAAAAGAGAGCAAACAAGTACCTACAGCATTCACTGCTGGAAAACGTCGATATCGAAGTTTGCAAATCAAAGCAACGCGATATTTCCCGGTGACTTCATCACATGGCTCTACCAATAACCAGATAAGCCACCTTTCTGAGCATAAGAAATTCCTCTTCTGTTCTAGTGAAACTCAACACCAGGCATTGCAGTTCACTTCTATGCATATATCACATCTACTGTCAATCGTTTGGTGATGCCTTCAAACCAAAAGGGGTGCCACTTAGAATCAAAAATTAACATTGAAATATTCCCAGCACAAAAAACGATAATTACAAACCCGGTTTTCCATAAAAATCGAGGGATCTGTGGATATATACACAAGCTAGAAAAAATCGGAGCTAGAGTACACCACTACTCAATCAGTGAGGGCAAATCAAGGCTATCAAATTTGCACTCGTCAGGATTGCCGATGCGAAGTGACGTTTTATCTTTAGCGGACCTATTAATTACGAAAGAGCTTTTGCTTGAAAGAAGCTTAAACATTGAAACAAAGTTATGCACGACCGAAAAAGGACGTTGTCACCTGTTTTATCGAAATTGGGGGCGGCCAGAGGGAGGGAATATCATTCGCCGTTTCATTGAAATGGGCTTCCACACGCGCACGAAATTTCTCCGACCTAACGCGCACACCACTTTGGTTGAAATCAATTTTGTCTACAGAATCGACAGCCACCAAAGCAATAGCCGATTGAAGCTGGTCGAGACTTCGCAGACCCGACCGTTCAACCTCCCGCAGACGCTGCTGAAGATAAACGAGCTCGGAGTCTAGTCTCAGAGTTAGCTGGTCATTGGCGTGGACCCAGAGCCAGCAGGCACGGGACGTGCCTGACGGAACGATGCTCACACCGGTGCGCCGGGGTGGAGCACCAGGAGTGGCATCACTGTTCCATTCGAGACAGCGTAGCTCCCGTAGCACCGCGTCTGGACGCCAGCCCCAAGCGTTACAGAGTTTCACTAAGTCAAGAGTCACTTCTCGAAGGTTTGTAACGGTGGAGCTTGAAGCTGAGTTAGCTTGCGACTTGAGGTGACCCAGCCATGCAGAAACGGCAAGGCTGCGCGTCGAAACATGAGCCATCTCAAGTGGACCACCATAGCAACTGACGATGACCCTCTGTAAGAATGAAGAAATGTACATATGATAAAAAGAGGTTGGTCTATGACGTCTTTCAAAATATTTACAGAGTATTTCTAGTTTTCCATCTTTAGCTAGGTTTTCTCAGTATAAACGAGGAAAATATTTGCAGTGATACAGCACACAATTAGTGTTCTCACCGTAGTAGGAGGATAGTCTGTCAAAACAACCTAGATGATCCCATATTTCAAAGACGTTTAAACGAAGTTTTCGTTAACTGTTGCTATCAAAGGCCAAAGGAACGACGACTCGAAATGGTCTGAAAAATGTGTCAAGTGGAGAAAAGCATTTGAATGTAGTTTCAATTTTCTGCCCGGATGTCAATATTTACTGTTCATTGACCTTACTACGAATAGCTAGTGAAAATGACTTTACTGCCGTTAGTAGAACCGTTAACTTCAGAAATTTACTACAAAACTCTTGATATGACTGAAGCTCTTGACCAAGGCCAATAACAATAAGGTTGATGCTGGAAAGCGAAAAAAACCAACTCTATGCTAAACAATAAGAGAAATCTTTGCGACATGGGAGGAATTATGATTTTGTTTCTGCCCTCGAAAAAGGCACTCGAAGGACGTGAACTTAAGGAATTGGAAACTGCTGATAACAAGCATCAATGACGACTTTCGTGTGACATTTACTACGTGGGTGATACAGAATGCATTTGCAATCAAGAAGCTTGACAAATTATTGCACTATTTGGCCACCCTGGAAAACAAGAAGTTGAACAAAAGGCTTATGACGGATCAGTGAATAGCAGAAGTTGGTGCAGATGTTACCCTACAGATAGTGGGGACAAAAAATAGCGTCATCGTGCTTATGGTACTCAAAAAGCTGTCAAGCAACACTTAGGAAGGATTAAATAATCACAGCAACAAAAAGTTACATACCAACTGATAACAGAGTTTCAATAAAGTTATGTCCATCCTACTTTTTGACTGACTCTAGGTCAGCATTATTAATGGATTTTCAAATATACACGCAGAAATTCAAATGATTCAATTACCAATGCAAATGGACAATCATATTTACTGGTTTTGAGTATCCGAACTCTATCCGCCTAAAGTTGCTGGTCATCACGTTTCAAAGCTAGCCAAGCCCCAACAAATAACGTAATCTCCATAGGCGTTAAGTGTCGAAAGAAAGTAAGCGAAAAAGAGAATATACCGTGGGGGCTGAAGGCAGAATAGTGATGAGCGGTGAGACATCAGAACGGAGATGCATGTAGGTTATTAGAGTCATCAAACTTTCAATTTTGATATCCAATTGTTCTGAAATTTGGTCGATATCGAGAGCAATCACGGGGCAGTTGGTTTTGTTAATGTCAGTGGAGTCTGCATTGCCGAAGACAAGACCCAATGTGCGCTTCAACTGTACCGGGTCAATGTGATTTGCAAAAATATGACGTCGCAGTTCGTTGGCTTCACATGCTTCCTCGGGAGTGAGTGTCATGGCGTTCCCGTGGCCGATGGGTTCAGTTTCATTTCGGACCAAGGAGAGCCCTGGCGGAAGGAAGATGTGGCAGAAAGACTGCTGACCGTTACGACCCGCCCGGCCGATTTCCTACAACAAACACGACAATAAAGGGTAACAGATAGTTTGAAATTTTAAAAGAGGAACCGAAGAATCCATTCAAACATTTTAGCTAGACTGGAATGGAAGAACTTCGGATTTGATGCGGCAACCCCTATCCTTCAAGACGACGATGAGAATACATTGCGCTACAATTCATGCATAATTGGCATTTTACAAACTTACTAACGAGAAATATAACAAAGCAGTGTAGTCAAATGACTTAGGTGGAGGAGAAATAAGCTGCCTCGCACTTAGAGCTACTTTGTCATGACATTGAACTAAGTCATTTATAAAAAAAACACTCGCAAGGTAAACAAATAAAAGCCATTAATAGGGACCTCTAAATCAACTCACCACTGAAGTTTAAACCACTAAAAGGTCGACCTACCGCCTAATCTAGCATCGAAATCAGGCTTTGTAATTCTTCAGAATTGGTATGAATGTTCAGAAAATAATGGAACATTGACTGATTAACTGACCAAATTTGATTTCTTCAGCAACAAAGTATATGCATGGTCAATGTTGAGATTAGATGAATGAGGGAGTTACCTGAATGTAATTCTCAAAAGATTTGGGCATAGAAAAGTGAATGACCGCCTGAAGATCCTGTTTATTTAGGCCCATACCGAAGGCTGAAGTTGCCACGAGAACACGAATTTTGCCATTCATAAAGCGCTTTTGCACCCGGGCTCTCTCCTTTGGTGACAGGCCCGCGTGGTAGACTGCTGTATTCCAACCTACTGTGCGTCGACCAATCTACAAGAAGAATCACGGTGCTGCTTAAACTGCGCTTTAAGAGGATTGAAGAAATGGTGCCTGCTGACTGACCTTGTCCTTCACTTCCTGCAGACGGGTCCGGATGTACCCCGCCAGGCGTTCAGTGAGATCTCGGCTTGCAGCATAAATTAAAATGGAGAGTTGCTCAGAAAACGGTGGTGTCTGAAGAATTCTAACCAGCGCCTCATTCCTATCACGGTCCATCGAGGCCGTAACAAGTAAGTTGGTGGGTATGGGGCTGGAGAAGGGTTGAAGAAAGCCACCATCAGGATCGAAAGGATTCAAGGGATTTTCAGCATCGCATTCTGCATCTAACTTGAGTGGATCACCCATTCCCAAATTCTGGAAAATGGTCTTGATGGTTAAAGGTGTACAGGTAGCAGAAAGGCCTTGAAGGTACGAAGGATAAGAGCAATACAAGTCATACCAAGAAACTGCTTCACTCCAAGTCGATTCCTGAGTAGGTTGCATACCTGTAGGTAGGATGGTCTAAAGTGGTGTGACCAGTCAGCTAAACAATGGGCCTCATCGATGCAGACAAAACTTATATTTGGAAGGCGAGTCTGGCGACAAATCCAATCCGATTCGACCAGAGCTTCTGGTGACATCAGAACGTAGGCGTACTGACCCCTGAAATCGGTCTGAAGATGAGCAAACTATCTACCTTGTTACTTCCTCCCATATTACTTCTTTTTCTCCCTTCATCTGACTGGAACTAATGTAGACACCACGAATGGGCGACGTTACTGGCAACACCTGATCTTGCATGAGAGAAATCAACGGAGATATGACCAGGGCTGTCGAGGTCGGATAAAATTTCTAAAAAATAACATTGCGTCCATATTAGCCAAGTACTTGAAAGATTGCTGCCGGCATTTGGTAACACAGCGACTTGCCACCTGCTGTTGGCATAACAAAAAGAGTTGATTTGCCAGCTAGCGTGCGCCAAATCACCCGCTCTTGACCAGGTCTAAATGACCGAATCCCCATTTTTTGCATCAGCTCATTCATATAATTTCGTATCTTCATGGTATCTAAGTCGACACTCTTTTTATTGATGGAGAATAGAGGTCGCGATGCTTCAGGACCAATGCTTAAGAGCTCCTCTAGTTGAGGTCCTCCAGAGAACTGACTACGCAGTTTAGCTAGATCAGCAATTCTCCACTCGGCTTTAGTATAGTCTGGTTCCATTTCCTCAATCTCCTTTTCGTTTAAGCGGACCCCGAAATGAGAGCAATCTTTTGGAAACTTGCTATACAAAGTACGCTCCAAATTGGATCGAACGAAATTTCCCATTCTGCAACCTTTAGACCCAAATTTCTTGGCAAATTTGGCTCGTCGTATATGCAATCTGCTAAGCGCTTGCCGCCGTGAACCACATCTACTGAAAGACTTCTTGCGTAGATTGAGTTTTACATAGTTTCCAGATGAAACAGAAAGGTGGGTTCTTAAAGCGACACTATTAACACTAGTAGTAGTAGGACCACTCGTAGATGGGGAAGATTTATCCGACGTCATTGACGCAATAAAAGACTGTGACGCCGCTACTCCAATGGATTGTGAACACTCGTCTAGTGGTTCCACTGAGTCATTTGAAGAAGGAGTTTCTAAAGCCAGTGTGATATCATTCGTAAAGAAATACCCGCATGTGTCTGAGGAGTTTCATCTGGACCGCGCAATCCGGCTGACATAAATGATCCTGTCTTCTTGACCACTCCTTTTGTCGGTTTAACCTCGAACGAATTGCCTTGGACATAAGAACAAGTATTTCCAAATATATTAAACAAAGAGCAAAAATGAACTATCCGGTTATCATTGGATACCTGGTGAGTTCGCACCGATATTCCCCGTATTAGAAGCTTTGCACCCTTCTTTGATAGATGAATATGAAATCGGAGTAACTGCAAAAAGATTTGCGGGATTTTCACGCAATTCAAGACCCGACTTCTGAAGAGAACAATCCTCAGCACATTTGTACGAGGAGAAGGGAGCAATATTTTCTTTGTGAGCTATTAATTCGCAATTCATGTAACGGAGAGAGGAGGACTGTGAAGAACAGCGCACAGATAACGATGCGGCCTCAAAGTTCGGAAGCTTCGGCTTAGATCCTACTTTATCGAACGGATGAAAATCAAGTCCACCAGTTAAAATGTTTGTCTTCAGCCGAGAAGCCAGTACTGTTTGCGACTTGCACTCCCGAGGTTTCGTCGGTTCATCACATTTAGGAATCACTTCGTCCCATGGGTTTGGTTCCCCCATTTTACAAGGTGGCTATTTGAAAGATATCGAAATAAATAATTGACTAATGAGGATTCAAAGCGTACCGATGTCAACATTGGTGATGGTTTAATCTTGGTGAAATCAGAGTGCTAATTATTCGAACGAAAAAAATCAAGGAAATCAAAGTGTTATTTGGAACTAGAGCTTCAAAGGCAACACATCACTTTCCAAAAAAAACGACATGAACCAAGCCAATGATGCATAATACGATACAAGAGACAACAAAGCCAGTAGCGCACGAATATATTGAACGTCAATTGTCAACACAAATGTAGCATGAGAACGTATTTACACCGAGCCTGGCGACAGATATTTGAATTCACTGAAGGTACTAAAACACGCTTCTTAACCCCTTCCGGTACGTAGAGGCAAATATCCACCTTAAATTTAAGGCGAAATTTAGACTCAAAACGGCAAGGCAATAAAAACACAACGTCACTTGAAAGGCAAGGCTAACGAATCAAATTCTAGCCTACAATCATGAGAATGATAAATAAGCATTCAACCCTGAAGATAAACGGTCACCAGCAAATTTAGAAGCCTAGCTTCGATAGAATGCGGCGCACCACCTTGCCCATTTTCGTTTGCAAACAATGTTACAATGTAAGTTTTAATCTCCAAATATTATTATACCTCAAAGACACTTCAACCATGATTGATTCTGCCAAGATCCTAACGAATTAATGTAACAACTAAAAATATTGAATTCGGTGAGTGATTTAGGTGCAAAAAGAAGCCAGTCATCGAAATCCATGCCTCCTTTAAGGAGCGGATGTCAACCGGCGCTGTCACCAGTGTAGAATCTTCCAGCCTACACTCAGGCTCCTAAAGCTCTGACCTCATAAGAGCATTGGTTAGAGGGAGTTTATTTGCCATCCTTTACAGAATAGAAGGGAATATGTGTATGGAAAAGACGGCGATCTGGCGCAAATCGGTGGGAGAATCCTTGCATTAGTCAAGCAAGAAACTAGTGCTTGAGTTGGCCAACCGTCTCTTCTTTGCAAGGGCAATTTAAACGCATTCGTATATCTATTACAATATGGCTTAAGGCTCGGCTTATTTGAGTACGGGTGCGCAACAACAACGAAATCGAGAAATAAAGATTTTGTTCGCCGATATTGGAAGGTCTAATATTTGGGTGGATCCACATGCAAAGCCTCCCTGTTAAACTTTGTCGATGTGACTGTAGTGACCCAAGACTTCTCATAGGGTGAAGGAAAGCAGTAAGAGTGGCTGGACACATATATTCCGAAGGGATCAGAGCGAATGGGCCTGAGCATGGTCCGAAGGCCAAACCAACCTTAAAGTGACCGCCGAACGTCATATGGTCAAGTAAACAAAGCATTACAGTGACCACCTATCTGCCAGTACTTTAGTATTCGTTTTGATCATTCTAGCGTCCCGAGGCTCCCTATAGTGTAGTAGAAAGCATAGGTTAGGGCAAACACATATATTCGGAAGACGACAGGGCAAATGGGGTCGGAGCGTGGCCCGAAGGCCAGCCTGCGTGTACAGAGGCCAGACCAATTCCAAAGTGACCGCCAAACGTCAGGTAGTCACATAAGCAAAGCATTACACTGCCCCTCTATTCTTTTGAGCGATGTCCTCGGCGCCCCCCTTTGGTATACCTCGCACACCAGCCATCACATATTCGGTAATGCAAGAAAGCACCCACGAACCAACCGTGCCAGTCGACAGATAACATCAGAGTGAAGAGCCGTATCTGGTCTCCGCGGCAGCTCCAACGTTCGGCCTGACAAGCAGATTCGGGGTCTCATACACCTGTTGACCGTAAATTGCTTCCAGGAATAGACGGTGAAAGTTTGGCCTAAAGCATATGTTACGAGGAAAACGGGATGAGGCACTGTCTTGTATGTAAGGAGGACCGTGTTTCACTTCCGCCAGCTAAACACGAATTTTGAATGGGATATTCCGACACGAAACTTTTCCAGATAGTCTACGACGGTGTCGCTTCAGTTATTAATAGCTTGTTTGTGGAACAGAGAATAAGGTGAAATCAAATGCAGACGTCCATCTAAATTCCTTTGTTGTTAGGGTTTCAGCGATTATCTGTCAACAAGGTAAATGCGACTCCTTCAATTCACGCTCCTTTTCGCCTGTATCTTAATCTATTGCACTTCGATAGAGTCAGACTTCCTTCTACGCATGTATAACTCATTATTGTCGGTTCACAACGCCAAAATGCGTTTATTAATCTCGAGTTTCTCCACTAAAAAGTTGAATTCCTTTGCAGTCTTGTCTTCTAGTTGGATCATAAAAGTCTTGTCGTGAAAAAAGATTTCGAATTTCCGGCCAGGGGGACCCGATTTAGGGGTATCTGCATGTAATGAACTAGTGTATCATCCAATCGAACCATTGCTCATCGGCTTGTGCGTATTGTTCTTTTCCGGAAATCAGTCGGTGAATTGGCAAAGTTTGGCAACACAAACGTAGAATGTCAATAAGAAAGTGGTGTCTGTTGGGCAATTGATTTTCTCGAACACTGTCGCTTTTAACAAGCAATTAGCGAATAACAAGCCGCAGAGAGAAACTTCACCTGGGCTGCAGCAGAAGGTTTCAAAAGCACTTTATACCTAAAAGTCGCTAAAGAAATGTCGGGTTCGCTTTCTGCTGCCATAAGTGTAGCGACCCGAGACTTCCCATAGGGTGGAAGAGGGCATAAGTGAGGGTTAATACATGCATTCCGAAGACGGCAGGGCAAACGGGGTCTGAGCGTGGCCCGAAGGCCAGCCCACGTGTACAGAGGGTAGACAAATTCTAAAGTGACCGCCAAACGTCAGGTAGTCACATAAGCAAAGCATTGCACAAATGTAAGCCTAGACTGGAATTTCGAGCAAAGCTAAGGCTCACTCCCTTCTTTTCTTTCGAAAATACAAGCTGAATGCTCGTATTCGGTTGGAAAGTGTAGAAGTGGGACCTTGGAGTGGTCCGAGGAACAGTCTACTTGATGGAGGCAGAATGGCAGCCAGTATGACCACCACTAATGCCAGAACACAAGATACAACATGTATTACAACTGTACAAGCGCATAGAAAACAATATAGCATCAAGCATAAGACATTGATGAGATTAGGTAGCAGAAGCAATACAGCAGTAAGTATAGTGGCCTAACTGCAGTACTTTGTTTATGCAGACACCTGATGTCTGGCGGTAACTAATCCCTTTGTTTTCTCTGGAATACATGCACTTATCTCCATAACATGTCCTCTTCTACTCTGAGGGGAATCTCGGAACCTTACAATAACAATTCTCAATAGATAGAAGGAGGCATCAAGATGGATTGATTACATGTATTCTAAAAGGAGAAGGAGTTAAGCTTTAGCTTAACTCGAGGACCAGAGCGGGCTCACAAGGGCTAGGTTAGAACCAGAGTAAACACCAAACATATGTAATTGCATTCGCAAAGACATGATGCCTGATATTTTGGCCTCTACTATCTGCAGCTTGGGTAACCAAATTCACTTGCGGTAGTGAAATGGCCCTTAAGCTATGTTAGCAGCTCCACTTCACTTCACTTTGCTTGGTACATGTAATCTATTATCGATACTATGACTTCGTTCGTTTTGGAATATTACAAGTGTTTTTTGCAATTATTTCTCAAAGCGTCCCTAACGCGTAAAATCATATTTAATATTCTGCACATTAATTGCTGTTGCTGCTGGAGCAGCTGCTCCAAGCCTAAGTCTTTTTCTCCAAATTGTAGTTTGACTAAAAGTTAATCGCAAAAATGTTATCACAAAGATTCGCATATGAATCCTTTGTTTCTTTTTATCATTACAAATGATTTGCGTCACAAAATATTGTGGCACTTCGCATTTGTCTGAATGAGCAATAATTATTGTTCAGCTTCACAGAGCAACCAGTTCAGCCAATGAGTTGTCTGCACATCAGTTTTAAAACACGTCATCAATGCCTGAGGGGCTATTGGCCAGTACTTTCTGTGTACTGTCTCGGCGATGCGGGGTTATGTGCTTTGTGAGTTTCTGCGTTTTATGTGCAGCCCTGCATACTCTAATGAAAAATAATAGTTGCGCTAAAATTCTATGCTCTCTTCGTATTTGTCTTAGGCATTAAATCTATGTTAATGTGCATTATTTCTGAAGGACCATGTGGCATGATTAGGTACCTCACTGAACGCTTTCAATGGCTCATATTTGATAAGATTACTGGATTTACTGTCGTTTTAGGTTTAATAGGTGACTCATTTGAGTTTCTTGATATTTGAAAGATTCTACTCGTTTAAAATTTTCTATATTGTGTGCAAACATTTGTGACATTTATAAGGTACGGTCTTTCATTTTCGTAGTGCAGGATTCACTTTCTTCCGCTTTAATCACACACCGTAGAGAGATCTTGATAATGCTCTAACTCGGTACGGTTGGCTATTTGCTGTAAGAATCGGTTACTTTTTGTTTATTTTCCAGATTTTCTACCCGTTTTTATTCGTGCATGTTTCGCTCTCTATGGTGGTGATGATTCTGTTACTCGGTTAAACAGCGAAAATTTTGACAACTTCGTTTCTCAGCCTGGAGTGACGGTTATAAAGTTTTATGCTAGTTGGTGCGGTCATTGTGAAGGTTTTGCCCCCAAATTTAGGAAGGCGGCTGGTATTCTTCAAGTAAGTTGTTTCTTCTCCATCTGCAAGCCTTGTGCTTTGCATTTTCCACATTTACAGGCCTATTTTCTGACGATTCTTATCACGATTTCACTTGATACTGGTGTTTACGTTTGTCAACAGGGTCTTGTGCGATTTGGTGTGGTGGACAATGAAGCTCACTCAGATGTGGGCAATCGGCTCAATGTTGAAGCCTATCCAACTATTTTGGTGTTTCGCAGTGACAAAAGCCCTGACAATCCCACCAAATACACAGGACCTCGAACTACTGATGAGCTCATCATTTTTCTAATGGAACAAGTTCGCGAATTTGTTGTCGCTCGTGCCAATAAAGAAGTAAGTTTCAGACCTTGGTTTTCATTCTAAGGAGCGTGGGGAGTTGCTGTCTCTTTGAATCTTTTCGATAATTTTACCATGTTTATAGATTTCTGATTGCAATTTACCCATATGAGCCTGCCTAATCATTAGTTTCCTTATAACCTCCTAGGGAGTTCAGCTTGATTTGCCTTCGAGGCAAGCAAATGCTGGCACTGGCGGGGCAACTTGTGGTGGCTCCCAAAGTCACACGGACGCACGCGACAATCACTATCAAAATTCAGAGGCTGTCATAACGTTGACTGATCAAAATTTTGATTCTCTTGTCCTCCAAAGTGATGATGATTGGCTGGTTGCTTTTATTGCACCATGGTGTGGTCATTGTAAGCCTCTACTTGCAGTCTGTCGTTCAAATTCGTTGGTACCTCAGTGCAACATCGTCTTTTATAATTTTTTATTCAAATTTGAGTAGGGTGTAATATGTGGCTGGTCATTTTGTAATTTTTAATACAAGTGTGTTGTTTACTTCAGGCAAGAACCTAGCTCCAGAATGGAAGAGAGCTGCTGAGAAACTCAAGGGCAAAGTGAAGGTTGGCACTATCGATGCAACTGTTCATACTACCCTCGCTGGGAGGTACGAGGTATGTGAGCCATTGTCTCATTTTACCATTTTGTATTCGACTAACTTCCCAATCACCTCAAGTTACGCCTTCACTTCACTTCGGTACTAACTGATTGATGAATCACTCCGAAATCGACAACATTCTTTTAGTTAAGGAAAGTTTCCCTTTCACACTTTCCCACAATGGGTTTACCTAGGCGAGCGATTCCTACCTTACTGACAAACTTTACCACCCACCTCAATTGAAAAGTTGGATCACATCACTGCTTGTTTTAGATAAGGGGCTTTCCCACAATTAAGTACTTCAAGTCAGGTCACATAGAGGAGTACAACGGAATGCGCTCATCTGAAAGCATTGTGGAATTCGGCTTACAAAAGGCAGAACTGAATCGTCCACCGCCAAAGGTTAATGAAATTACCTCGAATGAGGTGCTTCACGAGGCCTGTGACGACAAACAGCTTTGTATCATTGGTTTTCTGCCTCAACTACTCGACTGTCAATCAAAGTGCCGCAATGACTATTTGGATGTCATGCAGGAGGCGGCCAAGAAGCATAGAGGGAAAGACTGGGGGTATGCAATCTTGTTACGTCTTTTCACTGTTCCTCAACCAAATCGAATCTAACCTAAGAGAGGTGGAAGTTGTTTCGGATCTCTAATTTTACAGATGGCTTTGGTCCGCTGCACGCACGCATATAGAATTGGAGGAGGCTCTCCAAATAGGTGGATTTGGTTACCCGGTAAGTTTTTTGTCTACTTAAATCACTTTGGGATCTATGCTTTTTGTAGTAGTAGCTCTCATTCTATGCTTCCTGATGTTGACTGAACCCTAGTTCTTATGAATTTCTTTTGGCCCAGACTATGGTTGCGATCAACATGAGGAAACAGAAATTCGCTGTGATGCATGGTCCCTTCGCAGCTGATGGAGTGCGTGACTTTCTATATGATTTGAGTCAGGGCCGGGGCTCCGTGTCGCTTAACTCCATGTTAGCCCTACCTGAAATTCAGTCCTCTTCGCCTTGGGACGGAAAAGATGCCCCCGTAAGGATATTAACGATAACGTAATCCAGACATCAGATACCGTGCTTGTTGCTGGGCTCTGTGCGTGGTGGCGTAAACTTGCACTTGGGAAATTTTTGGGATGTTTGCCATGCCCTGCATAAAGACGAATCGTCTGTGCTAAGACCCCTGATCTAGAGTTTAAGAACTCTCTTATCAGTTCTTTTGCCCAGCAGCTGAGCCGTACTTTTTTTGATTTCAGATGGTTCATGAGGAGGAAATAGATCTTAGCGAACTCGGGATAAGGAGTGAGCTGTAAATTTGGGCAAGGCGCAATCAATCTTTGGTAGACTTGTACATTTACGATTATCGAATGATGAACGAGTTCTTACTCCGTGGTTGAATAAACTTTTGTTGAGTCCGACCTCTTGCCACTTCCTAACAAATAGTTCTCAGACCTGGAGCACTTGCGGATTCGTGAAAAAGTACAAAAGAGTTGTGAAATAGATGGGAACACAGGTACAAGTTTCAATTGGAATTGTTGCGTGATATTTTAGGTCAATGCGGTGATTACAATAAAGGTTCATGATTGGGCTTTGTACACGGATAAATTGTGTGCCGGCGAACAGGTGGACTTCGTTGTGAAAGCCGACTACGTCGAGTTGGTAAGGGGACTTCAAATTACGCTTGTTCGAAATTGAATCTGACCCCATTGCCGTCCTTGTCGGACGTGCATGACCGGATTTCCAATGCTAAAGACGCACTAGTCTTGGTTTCAGCGCCCGTTGAAGTCTAACTAGCAAAATAGGTCAAAATACATCAAAAACGGCACAAGTCAAGATCAAGAATAACAATTCTGGTCCCTACATGTCAGTAAGAGACGAAACACTGTTGGATAATGTCGATTACAAAGCAAGGTGGTCGCAAATATGACCCTTGTCAATATGATCGTCATGAAGCTACAACATCTGCATACTTTGTAAGCTAAAAGCCGTGTGTGTACGATGATATTGGTTGCGGATCTGCCCCTTTATTCCCGATGCGATTGGCTAAAATGGGTGACGATGCTCGAATACAATTAAGGCAAAATCCATGCAAAGCCGGAATTTAGTTACACAGCTGTGGTCAAGAAATCCGTACTTATCAGGCAAGGTCAAAATAACCGCGAGTGTGTAAACTAACATCGCTGGGTTGAGATTTGTTTTGGAGGTTGTGTATACGAGATAGAGGCGAGAAGACTTGTTGACCTTTGAGAGAATTCTCGGAAAATGCCATCTCGGAGGCAGTGCAAACCCCGTCAATGACGTGCAGGAGAGACTCCAGTTGAGATTCGGGCAGCCTAAAATGTTGCACAATACCTTACTAAAACAAACCATTATCATTGATTGACAGGGTAGAAACCAAGCAGACGCTTTTGAAAAGACTCGCTCAATAATGCAGTTGTCTGACTAAACCACATTCATAATAGTGAAAATTTATAGGTCATGAGGTTTTTGAAGCCTTTTCCTCATGCCTGAGCATGTAGTCAAACTTTTGACCGTAATTTGGGAGAACGAGTCGCTGATTTTAAAGTAGAGAAATCAATAGCAGTTGATATCCACTGTTTGCAATGGGCATTTCAATTTCGTAGGAAGCGGAGAACGATGTCTTGATTAATGTTTTAAGGCTCAATTATGTTTCACATCCTATGAGGCATGATTAGGGAAATTACTTGAATGCGTGCCTACCCCAACGTTGTATGCTTGGGAGACACAGGTATGTTACTGAGAGCAACGGAGGGAAGAGGTAGACCAGACTCGGAGAGCGCAGTTCGCAAACGCAACGACAATTGCCTGCATGCGCGACGGTGTGCGCGTACCAGACCCGTCTGCAAGGCCATGGCACACCTCTCTTGGCAAGATTGGACATATGCCCGCACTTCGCCTGGGTTGTAGAAGAAAGTCATGATCACAGTGTCCGTGTCGATTCGTAGCTGAGAATAAGTACTATCAATATCCAAGTGGGTACGGGCAGTGCTGACGTTTTAGCTCAAAAAGGGCGCAGACTTCAATTTCAAAGCAATGTTTGGAAATTGAACATGCTCACAAAACTGCTAGTTTGTAAGTGAGTCGACAGTTAAATACGAAAAATTAGAACTTGAATGTATCAAACATGTCAACTCCAAATTAACTGATGGAGTACCTCTAATTTTACTTATGACGTCACCTGGAGTTGGCGGCTGCTCCCCAATTTGGTGCCTCAATTCAGGCGTAATTTTGCTAAATTTAGCAAACCCGCCGGCAAGCTTACGCATTGCCGTAATTTCTGAAGATAGGTCAATGCTAACCAGATCTGCAAGCATTTTCAGCATTGTTTCGATAACGGAATTATGACGCTGCTTCAACGCGAGTTTTCTCTTCAGCTGAGTTTGGCAGTCTTTGAGCACCTGTAAAGTAAAAAGCTTAATTCTCATTGTCGGTAGCAAGGTAGAGAAAAAGAAATAGTTCACACACATCAAAATCACTAATTGCCTCAAGCAGGGACGTTGTAGTGATATTGGAGACTTGTTGGACTAGGGCCTGGGCAACGTTGCGCAGAATAGGACCAAGATTCGCCTCAATGAGGGGCAAAAGATTAGCAACGTCAGGAATAGAAGCAAGCTGCGCAAAGAGGCTGTCAGAGATGAGATTACCCAATAAGGGGAAACTGTGAGCAGACAAAGGCTGTATGTGTGCCACATAGGTGCAATCAACAGCTTGATCACAAGTTGGTTTTGGCTGAAAATAAAAGCGGTACAATAACATAAAGCATATGTATCAAGGCTGACACAGCGGCACACACGTACCCGGCGCAAACGCTCTAACTCCGCCTGGTGCTCCTTTAGGCAGGAATCCATACGGGCCTCAAATTCCACCTGGCAGGAGGAGCGAACCCGGTCAGCCTCAAGTGCCGATCTTGCCTCAGCATCGCATAACAAACTACGCCGCACCTGCTCAATCTTTTAAAAAAACACAAAATGTGAATCTACTGTTCCTGTTTATGAAGCTAAAAAATAACTTAAAGGCGGCAAATACTAGAAGGGCGAAAAAAACTTGGAATTGTAATTAGGTACCACCGAATTTGGTAGAATCGCATTTGAAACATTCAAAGCACATGGGCAAAAAATGGTGTAAACCGGTAGTTAATCACCTGACGGGGTAACTCCTCTCGCCAAAATCGAATGCGCTCGCACTCGCGTTCCTCCATTGACTACAAAGAGAAAATAGAGGCATGGCAACAAATTTTGAATGGAGTAAGCGAAGAGAAAAATAAACAACCTCAGCCAAAGCCAGTTGTACGGCATGCGCAGTGGCCTCTTTTGATTCTTGAAGCAGTTTGTTAACACGTTCGAGCTCATTTCGATAAGCCGCAGTTTCTTCCCTGTAATAAAAATACCATAAGCGAGATGGTGCACTCCCTAGTTATGGTGATGCTTCATCATAAGACAATCGAGGGAAAAGGACTTTGCCATCCAAGAAAAAAGATTCATCGACGTAAGGATAACAATGGACCGAAAGCGCCAAGGCATAGTATATGGAGAAATGAGTAATACTAATTGAATTTAAACGTAGAACCACATCCACTATCCACGAAAAAAGGAGCGAACGTAGGTCCTATGTTGTACAATTAGTGAATCAAGATTGAAAAATTCTCAGCATGTAGTGAAGACTGAATTGAGTAGGCGACAAGAAGTTTAATAACAATTTATCCCTTTCGACGCCAGGCCCAATAGACAAACTGTCGCCTTTGGCAATTCGTGAAAAAAAATGGACTTCGACCGATCTTACAACTATCCATAATTCTAGAACAACTGGAATTATCAGTGAGAAGTTGAAGTTTACCAAAACATCGAAAACAGGATAGCTAAGGTTAAATCAATTAGAAATCGTTGCGTTAGACCAGACAAAATGAAACTGACAAATCGCATAGAGTGCAGTAAAGGAACATACCTGGAAAGAATGACCTCCTGTTTGAGCTGGTGTAGATGACATTCGTGCTCAGTATTGAGCTGCGTTTCCAGACGGCGTCGTGCAGCTGTGTAGTGCACCTCGCAGGCAGCACGGGCGCGCTCAACCGCAGCCTCGCGCTCAGCAGCGCTTGCCTCCAATCGCTCCCGAGCTGTACGTTCCGCTGCTGCCGTTCGAGCCTCAGCCGCAAGCGCGTCTTGTAACCGACCACGAACAGTCTAATTCACATACAAAGGAGTACAACTAAATGATAGTTATTGAATAAGCTTTTGAATCTAGTTACAGAGAATAGAAATATTTCCCAAAATGTGGGCTAAAGTTACTACTTATAGGTTGACCCCGAGAAATGCTTTCGATCACATTTTGAACAGAATAGAGGGTGAGACATCGTTCAAGAACCGTGAACAATGTAGTCAGTTGACAAACGACAAAATAAATTTTCATGTTCAACGAAAGTAGAATACGGAAGCAATCCATTTCAGTGCCCATGCCGATCAGCTTTGGCAGCAACAAGTGCTTTTCTATGCTCATAGGTCGCACTGAATCCGGTATCCCAAAAATTTAATTTCACGTGTGATCCACTGCCTCCATGTATTGTTTATCCGCGTCATCGAATTGCTTCATAAGCATGCATTGTTATTCACTCAATGACTTGATTAGACCAAAAATGTGCTTAGAAACCACAAATAGAATAATGACCAAAATCATTTGTATGTGCTTAAACGCAAACAACAAGGACCACAAAAGTAATAGAACTAGAAGGGGAACTGAAGAAGGAATACCTGCAATTCCGATTCCAGACGAGAATAGTCTGCCTGAAGCCTTTCCAGTTGCCCGATGAGAGCAGATTCCCGTGGACCAGGTTTACGTACGTCTGCCTGTAGATTCAGCTCCTTTTCCAAGGCAAGAACGCGTATCTAGGAGTTCGGAGACAATTTATCACATTTGATAAGCTTAACCAAACACATGACAACACATTGTCTAGCTGGTAAACGTCAGACCTACCTGCAGGTCAGCCCGAGCAACCTCAGCGCGATCACGCTCGGCCACAGCTTTGTGCAGATCACAGCGTGTGGCGAAGAGCTTCTCGTGGAGGTTAGTGATTTGTGCTCGCTTCGCTCGATATGAAGAGAGAGTCAGGGAGATGATGGAGTCTTTAACTTTGGATGAAGAATCCTTGATGTGGTCTTGTGTCGTATGAAGACCAATCTCGGGCTTTGTATCTAAGGCTGACCTAATGATTAAATATTGTTATTTCTGACATAAAAATAGTAGTAAATGCACTTCGACAACAGTTCGTTGTGGGGGTTCTTTTCCTTATAAATAACAATAATTTTGCAGTTTATATGCAGTGACAGTCTTACCGAAGCCGAAATCTCATGATCTGAGTCACACATTTCCGAATGTAATCTACCAGGAATGCTAATGTAGAAATATGCAAATTTGTCTTAAATTCAATCATATTTCTAATATTTGTAAGTTGTGTCTCTAAGAATGATTGGGTTCCTTACAATAATTTGGATTATAATATGGCAGGTAAGCTTTGTCGAGTGAAGAAGCAGTCAGAATGTACTTATCGCGTTACGCAGGAAGTTAGCTAAGGGTTTTCTGAGATTGTTTTGCGCAAGCAAATAAAACGACCTAGTTTTTTAACAAAGCAACTCATGACGCTATTTGTGCACTCCTTCGCATCCTTCCTTAGGTTTCACGACAAAGCACAAGATATTAATTAATCGCAAAAAAAGTGTTCGTTCCTTTAGCTAATCAAAAAAGCCGATCCGGCAATCATGTCAAAATACTGATTTTGTAATTGGATGCGCTTCAAAGTCGACTTTTAAGGACAAATGTCGAATATCTAAAAAATCACTGCCCTAATGAGAAGATTAATGTACCATGTCCAGCAGTTATTTGCGAACTTAGCATTATTTTCTGATTTGGTGAAGCCTCTATGAAACATTGAGAACACTATAGAAAAGTACAAATCGATGAAAGTGGAAATTATGTCGGCAGCATGGTTACCTTGGCAGGTAATGGAAAACTTACCGCCGGGAGGGCGTAATCGAGATTACCTCATCGTCGCTAACAGCTGCCACCGCCACCGTGTTAGTAGTGGCTTCATGATTCCTCGTGGAAGATAGAGGTGCAGCGATTGCTGAGGAGGGCCTTCGTAGTCTCGCAACATCGAGAGTGTCACCAATCTCGCAACCCTCCAAATGGGTGGCGAACGTAACTGATTGGAAACTGCGGCGTCGAGGACTGCCTTGCGAAGGCTTGGTCACGATCGTCGAGAGAACAGCACCTCCAGAGTCATGGAAGAGAGGCAAGTGGCGTCTTGGAGTAACGTCATCTGAATTATACACGGAGGAGGCCTCAGCTTCAGTTTCTCCGACAGCGTTGATACCCAGGCTCTGTTCGTACAATGCCATTTGTTCTCGAACATCTTTCAACTCTTCCTTAGGGTGAAAAATGTACCAGAGACTAGGTTACCACTTACCAAGGTACAAACAAACAAATGATTATATTGATAGTACCTGTAATATTTCGTTGATATCATCGGTAATTGTTTTTGAAGTGAGAACCTCCTTGATGCGTTGCCTTAATTCATGAACTTCAGCACAAAGGGCTAAAGGGAAGTAAGAACATAAAGCTTATCGTACCTGATGAGGATAGTTCGCAGCATCTCTCTTGTGCAGCTTTCAGTTTGCCTTGAAGGCTTTCAACGAATTCAGCATTTTTCGCAGTTAACTCTTGGATACGGAGACGTTCCAACTCTAGATCCTTGCGAAGAGAAGTCAGCTCGTGATCCTAAGGAAGTGAGATGAGAAAAACTCGAAGTGCATCACCCACCTTATCCGCAATTCTCCGCTGAGCCATTTCCAGATTTTCACGAAGAACATCTTCAGCCATTGCGTGGCGACGAGTAAGACACTCAGTCAGGTTGTTTTCGCGCTGCTTTGCTAGACTCAAACTGGCACCACTAGAAAGTTGCACGAGTTGTGAAGAGAGTGAAGCATTCGTGGCCTCAACATCTGCCAACTTCTTTTCTACCTAACAATGTCCAGTATTACGAAAACCTACTTTGAGAAACAAAGCGATGGAAAAAAATAGCAAATGAGTATGCTTAAATGAGTATGCATCCAACAACCTGAGGCACAAAAATCAAGTCAAAACTAGTTTCAACAAACCTCCGCTTTAAGGTGTTTCACTGCTGCTATTTCATTAAGGAGGTTGGAATTGGTTTCAGCCAATTCCGCATTCCTTTTCTCAGCTGTGTTTCTCAAAGATTCTGTTCGTTCCAACTCCCGCGTCAGGTTCTCGATCTCGGCTTTAAAAAAGGCAAAGTTTTCAGATCTAATAGGCTAACTCACAAGTGATTAATTATATGCAATGGTAACTAGAAATGACGCTATAAAGACCTTTGCATCCTGTCTGAAAATTTTCAGTCATTGGGACTGACAGTTTTAATCAGCAATTGTGCGTCATATTTGTGTAGACGACGTTAGCCAAGCCCATTTAAGAAAGTATAAAAGGCAAGTTATATTAATTGCGACAAAAAAATAAAAACAAGGAAGCGAAAACAATTGTGACCTAGGTAAATAAAGACGGGGCGCGATACCTTTTGCAAGTATTTCCTTGTGATGGTTCAGCCGCTCATTTTGAGCTATTTCTTCTTTTAGAATAAGTATTTGTTGTTGCGCTTCCTGTAGCTGCCGACCACGAGCTTCAAAGATTAGACACTCACGATTTCTTTCATCGAACTGAGTCTTCATTTCTAATTTAGCTGGCAAAAACCGAATTGGAAAGTAAGTAGTTAAAACGGCGATGGTAGATGAAGGGATTCTACGAAGGGTGACAGAATAACTTGCAATCAATGTGTTAACAAAACAAAACCGTGAACAATCCTGCATCTAAAATTGAATTACCTTGAGTGAGGATTGGTGGATCATCAATATTTATATCACAGTGGTAGTTTTGAATAGGACTTAGACGGGCCGGTGAGGCATTTTCATCCGGCTGTGGACTCAGTACGGCCCTCATAAAAGCATTCGATGAACAAGTATGTGACTGACGAGGCGTAGATGAGTTAGAGGGTATCGGTGTACAGCTTCTCGCGTGTTGCTGAACTTGAGATACAGCAAGCCCTTCGTCTAGAAGTTTCGTTTATTTAAAAAAAGCATTACCAGGAAGTTTGCGAATGCAATGTCAGTTCCCACAATTCGCTTACCAACGTGGCCATAGAGATTGGGTGTGCTAAAAGCCGGTTGTTGGGACATCGCAGTACATTGAAATTGGTTGGGAGGAGAGCTCTCGTAAAATGGATTTGCAACGTTAGCCACAGGGATCACGTCACATTGGGGCTGTAAACTAGAAGTTGTTGCAAAAGCAGGCAATTTTCAAGAATACTGAGGGTACATTGAGCATTAAGTATGGCATTATTAAACAACAACTAGTCATCACTCAGATCTCACATCATAATTCGATGCCAAAATACAAAATAACCTTAAAGGTTTCGATAGCGAAATCGACAGAAGCAAGAAAAGCATATTTATGCATAACATGCATAACATGTTGGCAAAAAAACCAAGATTTCCGGAAAAAAATTTGTAGTGGCTACACAGTCTTTCAATGGCCATGAACATAGACCTACAGCAGTTCGTAAAATTGAGGACTTGATGCCCCATTCTTAGTGACCATCCCTTGGGTCTCTACATTGCGAACATCTGAATAAGGGTACTGGTGATGAGAAAGCCGGTAGTTTTGTTGAGTCAGTTGGTAGATTCCGCATGGGACCTGGTGCGAAAAAGTAAGCCCTATTTGCAAAGACTCAGGTCTTTGGAGACGATCAAGTGACGATTGAAATTTGGGATGATAAACAGACCAAAATGTAATATGCAACTCAAAGGCAGGCAGCACAAATAATCGTTAGTGAGATATAGGAGTTACTAATATCTACCTGCCTAAAAGTGGTAGAGGAGAATAAAAAATGAGTAAACAAAAGAATTGCTCCAAATTAAGACTACCCTATGACAAAAATTAATAAATGTCTTTCAAATGCAAGCTGGAAAAGCAGCGAAGAACCTAGAAATCAAGCAGTATTGATAAGCAAAACACCAGCTTATAAATGCACCAAAGCACTACATCCAAAACACACACCCTTCACAGTGCGTGATAGCTATTACCAAATTTTTCTCTAGACAGAGAACAGTGGATGTAAGCCAAAACGAATAATTTGCAAGATATTTGTATACTACTAGACTAATTTTGATTATGCACAAGCTTACAAACTAGCCCATCGAAACACCGGTAAGAAGGCACGACATTCGTACATTATAATTTAACGAAATGAACCATCTACCAAAAAAAACTTTAATGGTACCTCTGCATTAGATTTCCCCGCAGCAAATAAATCATGGGTGAATGAAGAACCCCTTCCGTCGGATTCAAAAGCATGTCCTTTGATTGAAGCATTCTCTTGCGTTGAGTGAGATGCTAAGGATTCGGCAACATCGGAACGTACGTCAAACTCCGTAGCGTCAAATTCGTCCTTAATAAGGCGGTCGAGCTATAAAACGAAAACCTTAGGCTACTAAAAACAGCAAGTACTTGAATATGCTTTAAAAACAAAAGAACTATTGTACCTCCGACTGCAGTCGGACATTCTCATTTTCTTCATCATCAATGCTTAAAAGATGTGAAGAAACGGGAAGAACATTAGCACACATCTACAGCTAATTCGCGTTAAATGCAACTTTGACGACCAGACGTAAACACAACCACACAGCCCGCGTTCCCGACTCATTTACTTCGAGTTGACCTTTAAGCATTACATCAACTTAAAATTAATTAAAAGTTTTAAAAATGTGTCATGTTTTAAGTGACACCATAGAGTGGTGCAAGCCGTTAATGGATAAAAAAACCCACAGTCCCATAGAGGTGAAGTTTGTCTGCATCTATTTAATTAAATGTCCTTATTTCGGTGATTGCTGGATGGCTAGACTTCGGACTATATTATGTTGTCCAGTTCTGGGAGAACATAAGTGTTTAGCAATATTCTTGTCACCTATTACTGTGTGCATATGCTGGTTGTCGTCTTTGTCGATTTGGGTGCAAAATGATTGTGCCATTTTTTGTCACATTGCTGCCATAGCTGATGGTGGCTTAAGTGGTCACATTGCCTTCGTCAAATTGACTGGCCTTCTAGTTATGCCATTTCAAATACCTTGTTTATGTAACCACGTGTTGTGTGGCGGTTATTTTGATTTTTGTTCTGCCCTTGATCACATGGCTGACCAATAGTTCAAACCGTGCACGCATTTAGCCCAGCTCAGTGTGTTTCTCTACCTAAAGGGAGGTTTTTAGCTCTATTTACTGCCGAATATATGTACGCTACTGAAATAATATATTCTCACTTTCCTAAAATAAACCTCGATATGTCACATTGGCGATAGAAAGAAGCAATGCTGATGCTGATTCGACAATTTGCTGATTTTATTTTAGTGTTCACAGCTCTCTGTGGCGTTTCAAGGCTTCCCATAGTGTGGAAGAAAGCATAGTTGAGGTTGAATACATGTATTCCGAAGATGACAGAGCAGATGAGGCCTGAGGGTGGCCCGAAGGCCAGCCCACGTATATAAGGGCAAGACAAATTCTAAAGTGGCCACCAACTATCAGGTAGTCACGTAAACAAGGTATTACATTCTCTAGTGAAAATTCAATGTTTACACTAAAGGGCTAGGCGTTCCGATTCAAGGGCTCCTAACAGAAAATGTGGTCCAACTTTAACACCAAACCACATTTTCATATTCTATGTGCAAGCCAAAAATAACGAAAAAAATACTCAAAATAAAGATTTCAAGAAACTGACGTTAAAGTAAATATCACCGCAAATGTACAATACCGGCGTAATG